GTACTTGCAAGGAAGAAAACGTGCGTACTTGCTCAATCGGTCCACAACCGTGAGGATGCCGTCGTGCCCGAGCCGGTCTCGAGGAAACGGACCGGTGACATCCATAGCAATGGAGATACCGGGTTCCCGGGGGATAGGCATCGGGCGTAACTCGCCATAGGGATTGCGGTTGCGGGGTTTGCTGCGTCGGCAAACTTCGCAAGAATCGCAATACCGCATGACATCGGAAATAAGGTCGGGCCATCGGAATCGTTGTCGAAGCCGTGCAATCGTGCGATTGACTCCGAAATGGCCGGCGAGTCGCGAATCATGATACTCGCCGAGAAGGCGAGTCCGAAGACGGCGGTCGCGTGGGACACACAGTAAGTCCTTGCCTCTCGAGTGGAGGAGCAAGTACCCGTCGGCAATGCGATAGTGGCTGGCCGGCGGGTGATCCGAAGATAGCTGCGCATACAACGTAGCAAACTCTGGGTCAGACTGATAGCCCCTGATGAAGTGTCGCTGGAGGTCCTCGTCGAACGCGAAGGCGTGATGCGTCATAGCACAAAGATCAGGTCGTCGCGAAAGTGCATCTGCTGCGCGATTGGAGAGGCCGTCAACGTGTTTCGGTGTGAAGTCAAACTGGTCGATGAAGTACATCCACCGTCCAATCGTGCTGCTCACYGTGTCYTGCGTCTTGTAGTAGGTYAATGGGTTATTGTCYGTGACCCATGTGAACCTACGAYGCCCAAGAAGGAAGTGCCGCCATCGCTTGAGAGCCATGACGAACGCAAGCAGCTCCTTCTTCCTTGCATCATCCAGAGAATTGATGGGAGGCACTTTGTGGCTGAAATACTCCACAGGGTGCCAATCCTCGCCGTCGTGCTGCTCCAAGACTGCCCCAATGCCGTAACCGGAAGCGTCAGTCGTCACTCTCGTAGGCAGAGTGGGGTCATAGATGCTAAGGATGGGTGCCATGAGCATGGTCGTCTTGAGTGCTTGGAAAGCCTGGCGCGCGTCGTCATCGAATACGAATGGCACCTTTGGCGATTGTAGTCTCGTCAGAGGTGCGGCAATCCTTGAGTATCCAGTGATGAAACGCTGATAATAGCCTGCCAACCCCATGAATGAACGAATGTCCGTGGTGTTGGTGGGCTCGGGCCATACGCGGATGGCAAGCGGACGGATGCCTTGCGGCATCACATAGTGTCCCAAGTACTCCAACTCCTGCTGTGCGAACTCGCACTTGTCGTGGTTTGCTTTGTACTTGGCCTGTCGTAGCCGCTCCAAAACGGTGCGCAGGTGTTCCACATGCTCGTCCAGACTCCGGCTGTAAACCAGAATGTCGTCGAGGCATATAAGTACGAAACGATCCAGCATGTGTCGGAACTCCGTCGTCATAGCCGCTTGGAAAGTGG